GTATTGTCGTGGCTTATCTGTGTGAGTTTTGCCGTGCTTTCAAGTTTGGAATTCCTGCTCCTGCACTGCCAAACTAGTTGCTTCAGTTTGGTTTGTTTGGATTTTAAGTTACAGTTTGCGTGTACCTTGTTTTGGACTGAATTTCCTACAGTCAAAGTCTGGGAGAGTTTTTCTCCAGCCAAGGGTAATTTGGACATTGGGGGCAAAGCTGGAGATAATAAAGGGACTCCTATTGATTATCTGACTGTGTTGCCTTTGTGCCGCGCCCCTTTGGGTCATCACAAATGTCCTTCCTTTCACCCGGAGACATTTTCTCCCTCCTTCAGATCTTCGAAGATTTTGTTTTCCTCAGCTCAGCAACTTGGATGGCTTCTAGCGTGATCCACTCCCACCCCTCCCCCGGTTTGTACATGGTTGCAGAACACAGCCAAATAAACGTACGTGTGCACAAAATAAGCATATATTTTTACCTCCTGCAGTTGCACCCATCCCCTCTCTTGACCTACAGATTCCCCAAAACCAGAGCCCCATTTTCTGCCTTGCACGCAGCGCCGAACAGGCTTTCACTAGTTTTTTCCTGAGCTGGGATTAGCGACCAAGCAAACTAGGGTAATCTGCAATTGCTTCACCTGTGCGCCGTTTAATCCCAGTCTCCGTTTTTTAAAAATACAGCTGAAATCCCAACGATGTGCAATATTTCCCCTCGCCAGTCTTGAGTGACGATTTTATTGCAGCCCTTTTTGGCTAGGGGAAACCTGCTGTGTCTAACATGAAAGGACCCAGCTGTCTGCATCTTTCACAAGCCTATTATCCCCAGCCTACCTGAGCTACATCTGACTGCAGGGTGGAAGGAATTGGGGTCCAATTGCTTGGTCACGCTGTTGTGGTCCTTGTTGTTACAGGGCAGTTAAGGACTTGCTAAGCCTGGTGGGTGGAAATTTAACACCTGCCCACTACTGAACCCCAAATAAGGTGGAGTCCAGCTTGTGACCTTAATGTGCCCCACACAACTTAAATCAGAGGTGGTCTTCAGCTGGTTCTGACCGGTTCTGGAGAACCGGTTAGCGGAAATTTTGAGTTGTTCGGAGAACCGGCCAATCCCATCTCTGACTGGCCCCACCAACCCCATCTCTTCTCTGCCTCCCATCGAGTCCCAGCTGATCGGCTGGGTCTCCTTGGGTTGCCCTGCCCAGGAGAAGGGAGCTGGAAAGCAGGTTAGTGGGGTGGGGAGGGAATGAGGATTTTGCAGTATATACTTCCCCTGCCACGCCCACCAAGCCACGTCCACCAGAACCGCTAGTAAAAAAATGTTTGAATCCCACCACTGACTTACCTGGAAGACGATCGGGGTTTTAAACAGGGCAAAGCGGGGTCTCCCCTTTTACCTGGCTGCCTTTCGACAAGTCTTCCGTACTAATTGAACATGTCAAAGAGATTTGTCCCTCGCGATGCCCACCTGTTGTCCTCTCTCCTGCTCCCTCGGCTGCGGAAAATAAGTCAGTTCCACCGAATGGCAAGAAAAACGTCCACTTTGTCTTGTGATTGTTACTCCTGCTACCGCCAGCGGGGCCCTCTCTACTCTGAGCAGCCCCCAAGGGACCTAATAAAATGTTTAAAAAAAAGAAAAAAGGGAAAAAAAGGGAAGAGGATATGGAAAGTCCAAATTAAACTTAAACCTGACAGCAAAGGCCAGCTGAGCCGGCCCTCCTGTGGACATATTTTAGCTATGGGATGCTTGGCAAAGGGACAGATGGTGGCTCAGGGGCTAAGACGCTGAGCTCGTCGATCAGAAAGGTCGGCAGTTCGGCGGTTCGAATCCCTAGCGCCACGTCACGGAGTGAGCTCCCGTTACTGGTCTCAGCTTCTGCCAACTGAGTTCGAAAGCACGTAAAAAAAAAAAAAAAGCAAGTAGAAAAATGGGGTCCCCTTTGGTGGGAAGGGACCAGCGATGCTCCGTGCACCTTCAAAGGCGTTTAGTCCTGCCAGCCATGACCGCGGAGACGTCTTCGGACAGCGCTGGCTCTTCGGCTTTGTGACGGAGATGAGCAGCGCCCCGGCTAGAGCCGGAAACAACCAGCACGCAAAGGCAGCCTTTCCTGGGTCGCTTATTCTTAATTTTACCTCTCTGCTTGGATGAAGACTTAGAACATCCAGGGACTTAGAAATGCAATAATACGAGAGATAAAAATTACAAATTAATATCTCCAAAAGGGCAGGGGGGCTGGGGAAGGCCAGGGAGTCTAGTCTGCCCTCTTGTGGTCGCTAACAGCCATAGCAACTGGCAAAGAGATCTAAGGTGACTCAGTACAGATAATCAGAGTTGGAAGGGACCTTGTAGGCCATCTAGACCAACCCCCCTGCCTAAGCAGAAGACCCTACACCATTCCTGACAAATGGCAGTCCAGTCTCTTCTTGAAAGTCTCAGTATTGTTATTACTCTCGCATGTAGTCGTCTTACAATAGCTTGTTTAGTGACCAAAGTTAACAGCAAGGAAAACAGTGAGTTGTGACCATTTTTTTCCACACTTACACCGTTGCGGTATCCATCCATGGCCACATGATCAAAATTCACACCCTTTGGCAACTGATTCACATTTATGACTGTCGCATTGTCCCTGAGGTCAGTGTTGTGTCCCTTTTTGCGGCCTCCTGACAAGGTCCACGGAGAAGCCCGATTCACTTAACAACCATGTGACCAACTTAAGAACTGCGGTGAGTCGCTTTAGTGGCCGTGGCAAGGAAGGTTCAAGGGAGGAAGGCAAGGAAGTGGCATGTAAGACTTTTCCGCTGGCACGTAAGCCGCAGGCAAACTTACTTCACTGTGCATGCGTGCCGACCCTCACAGCTGATGTTTTTTTGCTTGGTGGAGGCCTTTTCCGGCCTCCCAGAGGCTTGGAAAAAAACCTCTTCAAGGCTTCTCAGGCCGAATTACAGGTCCATTTTGTCACTTCCGGTATTACAGGAAGTGACAAAACGGGCCTATAATTCATCCTGAAAAGCCTTGCAGAGGCTTTTTCCAGGCCTCTGGGAAGCCAAAAAAAGGCCTCAAACCACCCCAAAAATCAGCTGTGAGGCGCAGTGCAGGTAAGGTGATGGCGGGGGGGGGATTGCACGTGCATGCGCTGGGGGCGTGGGGAGGGGGGCATGCATTGCATTCTGAGTGCTGGTGCATGCACAATTTTTGGCACAGGAGCCCAAAAACATTAGCCGCCCCTGGGCTAACACAATTCAAACCCTAAAAAAAGACAGAAATGAAAATTAACAGCTGGGGAACCGCTGGATTAGGACACCCCAGCAGCAGCAAAAAGGCCAGCCGGACATTCCTTCCGGGGGCCAATTTTTTTTTGAGTTATTGTGCCCGAGCGTCTTTCCTTCCCACGGACAGCCGAAGACCCCTTTTCCCGGGGGGACTATTGGTGTATGGAGATTGGGGTGGCTCCTTTCAGTCAAGGGAGCACAGAGGGCTAGAAGAAACAAGGGAAGCAATTGAATTGCTCAGTTAAAACGGCCCCCATGTTTAACAGCGGACGAGCGAAGGGCTCTGGCCTTCTGATTTCCAAACTGGGGGAGGGCATCTAAATTCTTCAGGGGTGCCCTCAAAAAGAGACCCTTCCCTGCCTTGTGTGTGTTTGTGCGCATGCAATAGAGCAGGGACTCCCCAAACGTGGCCACTTTTAAGACTGGCAGACTTCCAACTCCCAGAATTCTCCAGCCAGCTATAGCAGCACGATAGATAGCTATTTGGAAACTTCCGCAATAGAGCCTCCCTCTTCAGAAGCAGGCTACCTTTCCTTGGCTCGGCTCTGCTCCCCAGGCCTTGGGAAGGGGGCTGGTCCAGGGATCCAAGGGCTCCTAAATCCAGAGATGCTCCTTCCTCGCCGTCTGGCTCGGCTCTCCTTAACCTGATCTTGCTAATCTTGCTAAACAGCACCATGCTCTGTGTGTGTGTGTGTGTGTGTGTGTGTGTGTGTGTGTGTGTGTGTAGGGGAGCAGTAACGGTGGTATTCTACCGGTTTGGCCCGGTTCAGCAGAACCAGTAGTAAAAAAAAACCAAAACAACACTACCGGTTCCGCCCAGCCAGTTTTTCCGACGATCAGCTGCGCTCCTGCGATTTAGATCGGCTAGAAAGCAGGAGAGCATCGCGGGTCTTGCTTTCTAGCTGATCTAAATCGTGCAGCCCAGCGGATTCCCCCTCCCCCCGCTTGCTCCTGTACTGACCTCGCCAGGAGGCACCTCTGGGGTGCAGTGGGCAAAACAACAGGGCACGGGGTGTTGGTGTGTGTGTGTGTGTGCTGTGCAGCCGCCCCGCACCCCGTTTTTGCTCCATGAAACCCAGTAGGGGGGGCACCGGGGGGGAGGGTGGGGGGCGCTGCAAAAGAAAAAGAGCCACCACAGCCACGCCCACCCAGTCACATGACCCCTTGGCCACGCCCACGGAACTAGCGGTTAAAAAAAGAAGAAAAAAACCACCACAGACACGCCCACCCAGTCACATGACCCCTTGGCCACACCCACGAAACTAGCGGTTAAAAAAAGAAGAAAAAAACCACCACAGACACGCCCACCCAGTCACATGACCCCTTGGCCACACCCACGAAACTAGCGGTTAAAAAAAGAAGAAAAAAACCACCACAGACACGCCCACCCAGTCACATGACCCCTTGGCCACGCCCACGGAACTAG